AAACTAAATATAGGGCCAGGGATTTAGCTCAGTGGTTCTGCCACCTGCGTCACAAGTGCAAGGTTCCAAGTTGGATCCCCGGTACCAAAAAAACCCTAAAAATAGAAATGCCATCTGACCTAGCTATTCCCCTTCTAGGTATTTTCCCAATTACTTTGACACATGCATACCCTTGACTACAGCAGCACAACTCATAATAGCTAATAAACATCATAGCTTAAAAACAGCCTGTATGTCCATAAATAGATGAATGCATAAAGAAAATGTGGCATTTATACACAATGGACTATTACTGTGCCATAAAGGAGGATAAACTTGAGTCACCTGTAGGAAAAGATGCACCTTGAGATCATAATGTTAAATGAAATAAATCAGACATGCAAGCTCTAGTATCACATAGTTTCTCTTATATGAAGAACCCAAAGTATAAAGAGCAAGGTAAAAAGACAAACAAGAAAAAAGACATTTTGCAAAAGGGAAGAGGATCAAGAGATGGAGGTGATGGGGAGAGAGGGAAGGGGAAAAGGGATATAAAAAATTAGGAAGGTTGGAGGTATGGTGGCGCACACCTGTAATCTCAGCCCTTGGGAGGCTGAGGCAAGAGGATCCTCCCAAGTTCAAAGCCACCCTGGACTACATAGTGAGATCAAGGTCAACCTGAACTAAACAGTGAGTCTTAAAAATTTTTTAAAAATTAGAATATGTTATATACATGCACCTTCTACTCATGATGAATATAATCATTATGTACTGCAAACATGTATGAAAATTAAATTTAAAAAAGAAAAATCAAAAAGCAACAACAAAACTGAAAGAATACACAAACTTAAGAAATGGGAGAAAATATTTGCAATATATATCTGATGATGGTTAATACCCAAAATATGTAAGAAACTCACAGCAAAATGAACAAATAATCTGATTTTAAAAATAGAAAAAGGACCTGAGTAGACATTTTTCCAAACATACAAATGGCAATAGGTACATGAAAAGGTGCTTGACATTACTCTTCATCAGGGAAATGCAAAGCAAAACCAGAAGATATCATCTCACACCTGTGAAGATGATTATTATCATAAAGACAAGAGATAACAAGCATTAGAGAGGGTGTGCAGAAAAAGGATCCCTTGTCTAATGTTTTTGGGAGTGTAAACTGGTGTTTTAGTTACTGGTGTCTTGTTGCTGAGACAAAATACCTGACACCCACAAGTTAAAGGAGCAAAGATTTATTTCAGCTCACAGTTTGTAGAGATTTCAGTCCATAGTCAGCTGACTCCAAGGCAGGGCGTCATGGCACAGGGGCATGTCAGAGGAGAGACAGTGTGGCAGGCAGAAGGCAGCAGGCAGTGAAGCAGCAGCAGCAGTGAGCCTACCTACCTCCTTTCTGTCCCTTTACAGTCCATCTCGGATACAAACCTTTCAGGTGGTGCCAGCCACACCCAGGGTGGGGCATCTATATTCAGCATATCCATTCAGCCACGCCCAGAACTATGCTAATTCCAATCTGTGGACTTAATTTAGTATCACACACTCTTAACCCCAGTGTCACATACCCTAGATCCCTCCAGCTCCCAAAACCCTCACCTATGAGCGTGTGAGGCTTTGAGGGGTACATCTAGATATAAGCCATAACAATTGGTGAAAACATAATGAAAGTTCCTCAAAAAAATTACATATACAACTATTATCCAGCATTCACACATCTGAGTATATATATGGAGGAAATGAAGTCAGTATCTCAAACAGGCATCTTCCTTAACATGTTTGTTGGAGCATTATTCCTAATAGCCAACTATGAAAACACTTGAAGTGTCCATTTAATGGATGGATAAAGAAAATGGAAAATGTGGTATATGTATTGGAACATTTTTCCACTAAAAGAAAGAAGGAACTCCTACCATTTGTGACATGAATGAAACTGGAGAGCATTATGCCACTATGTGAATAAGCCAGAGGAAAACAAATACTGCTATATGTGAAATGTAAAACACTCTAGTTTATAGAAGCATAGAACAGAATAGTGGTCATCAGGGGTTAGGAGTGGGTGAAATGTCAAACAGTATAAACTTTCAGTTGTAAAATGAATTCTGGGGATCTAATGTACAGCATGGTGACTATGGTTAATACTACTATATTGTTTAGCTAAAATTTGCTAACAACACATCTTAAAGGTCATCTCTTTTCTTTTCTTTCACACACACAGAAATGTTAACTGTGTGTGTTGAAAGATATTCACTTATTTGATTGTGGTAATCATTACACAACAAGCACGTATATCAAATCATCACACTATACAACTTACATATTTTCTTTTTCCTTTGTTGGTGGTGCTGGGGTTTGAGCCTATAGCCTCACTCAGGCTAGGCAGGTGCTCTATCACTAAGCTATATCACCAGCTCCCTATTTACAATTCTTTCCAATTATATCTCAGGAAAGCTGGAAAATTAGAGTTGAAAGAAAGAACCCCCCGCTGAGGAGACAAAAGCCCATAAAATATTCTTCATTATAATGAAATGATGTTTCTGTGAACCAAAATCTAAGAATACTATAGGAAATCTATACAAGATAATCAACAGACTTAACCTTTAGCTGATTTTTCAGAAAATAACAGCTTTTAGTTAAGAGATGACTTATATAACTTAATTTGGGAAAGTGTAAAAATAAAATGGGTTATACTACCATACTAATATAAGATGTAAATAAAAGGCAAAACTGAGCATGGGGAATATTTTCTCAATTTTTCTATAAGACTTGTAAAAAATAAAAATATGCTCATAAAAAACAGGGCCGGGGATTTAGCTCAGCGGTTCCACTGCCTGCCTCACAAGTGCAAGGACCCAAGTTCGATCCCTGGTACCTAAATAAATAAATCTGAGGCTTTTTTTGTCACATAAAAATCACCAGAGGGATCCCTAGGCATGATATCCCATATCTATAATCTCAGCTACTTGGGAAATTAAGACAAGAAGATCTCAAAAAATAAAAAGGGCCATGGATGTAGCTCAGTGGTAGAGCATCCCTGGATTCAATTCCCAGTATCAGGAAAAAAAAAAAAATTCATCATAGGGAAACAAACATCTATTTTAATTTTAATTCTTAGATTTAAGGATCTATGGTCAATATGAGGGTATTTTATATATAATACAAATCTTTTCTATTTGTAAATTCACTACTTTAAAAGTTACTTCTATAACGTTTGGTTGTGTTTGCTCGTTATTTGTATTAATGCTTTCTAATCTGACTTTCTGGAGTTAAATTATTACCCTGTGAAGTGGTATCCCAAATTCATTACAATTTCTGCTTAAGGCAGCTCAAGAAACTGATTCGGGTGCCTGTACTCCTCATTTTGTTTTCAGTGAAATATCCTTTTAATATATACTAAATGGCAGTGTCAGGAATTATAATACATTTAAAACAAAATTCAACATAAAATGTAATATTGATTTACATCAATTTTCATGGGCCTGCCTATTCATTTTTCATTTGCACAAATAGTTACAAAGTACATGTACAAATTATATTTACAAAGTAATTTTTAAAAATTAGAAAAGACAGACCAGGGATTTAGCTCAGTGGTCCTGTTGCCTGCCTTGCAAGCACAAGGTCCTGAGTTTGATCCCGGGGAACCAAAAAAAACAAAACCAAAAACAAAACTTAGAAAAGACCTAGGGCAGGGGATATAGCTCAGTGGTACCATGCCTGCCTGGCAAGCATAAAGTTCTGAGTTCAATCCTAGGTACCACAAAAAACAAAACAAAACAAAAATTAGAAAAGACCTGAAGATTAAATTTTCAAGTACTTCAATTAAATCATTTAAACATTCCATCAGTAGCATTCAAGATTTCCTTTTACATACCAAAGAGTCTACCCATATCAAATTTTCTTTAAATCTGAATTTTCCTACAAAACTGCAATAAGCAAAATACACAAGCACCAAGCTTCATTTAATAGAAGGCTGGTGTCCAGAGTCAGGTTTAAATAGAGATGCATTAAGGACATTTGGCCTAATGGTCTAAATATGGCTAAAAATTCCTGAGACTGCCTAGTATGGGGCTGAACAATTCAGTGCCCCTTGAAATCTATGCTATGTATTTTTGCAGAATCATTAATGTTCAAATGATTTCAATAAACTCATAGATTTTGCTTGTAATTTCGTTTAAAACACCAGAGCAATTTTTCAACATGAGTCTAATATTGTCGATGTTGTTAATATATAAGAATCTCTTGTTTACATGGGGTAATTCTTTTCCTCTTCACAATGGCAGGTTGTACAAATAAAACAATTTTTCTTCTATTGTTCACTAGTGAGACAGTAATTGCCATAGAATCCTACCGAGAACTTAGTCTTTTAAATATATTAGGCGAAAAGATAGGTTTCACTGTATTATAATGATTCTCAGATACATTTTATTCTGCATGAGCACTCAAGCAACAAAATATTTTCTTTTCTATGGAAGATAAACTGCATCTTATTTAGAAATGTGTAAATAGAAGAAGCAAATTTAAGCAGGTAGACTTCAGGTTCTTTCTAGCAACTAAACAAAAGAAAAATTAACAGAATTCTCCTTTTCATCCAAATCTTGTTAATTAGGAACCTTCAAAAGGCACTAATACTTTTAATGTCTGAGTGAGAAACATAACTGCAGCCTCAGTATGAATTTCAATCAATGTAATGCAGTGCAAAAACTATACAATGCTTCAAATACAGACCATATATGAAGGACATTTTTAGGAAGATAAATGAATGTGTTGCTGCCTGACACCACTACTTTCCAAGTTCTATGGCATTTAGATTTCTAGAAATACATTTTAAATAATATTTTCCAGTGACATCCTTCAGTTAACTGCTTTTGGCAATTACTATCCTTTAAGACCTCAGGTATTTCATTTTTAAACGTGTCATTTACCATTCAGTAGAGAAATTAATGAAAGTTTCAGTTTCTCCTTTTTAGATTATAATCATACTAAAATCCAAATCAACTATATAGGGAGAACAGTACCTTTCATGATGTCCTAAATCTGAAAGAAATTCATCTGCATGTCTTTGGAGTTCATTTCCTTCTAAATTCTTTAATTTCTTCAATTCACTCTGTAGAAAAAACCAGAGCTCTTTAGCTCCATTTTCAATTCTCCTTCTTAGAACTTCATGATCCTTCCCCAGACCTGCAGTTAAAAAATAAAGAATACCAGTAATTCCAACACTTCAAGAAAAGAAAATTAAAGCCAATATATTGAGCAGGAAGAAACAGAGTATAGTCACCTACCATTTCTAGTTTGTTTCTTGTAATTTTCAATCTGTTCTTTGGCCTTAACAAGCTGCTCTTCTAAAACACGTACCCTTCCTGTAGCTGGCCCCTGATCAATGGGGCCTTCTGGTATCCTATAGTCAGAAAGAAAGAATATATAAACTTTTAGCTTAAAGTTATATATAAAATACATGTTCTCTGTGCTATTTATTGGTAACTCTATAAATTATTAAACATATCACAAATGAGATACCAAATGATACTTTTTCATCAAAGATACAGGATTAACTATAAAGACTGATATGATAAAAACAAAAACCAAAAGATAATAATCAGCCGGGTATAATGAACACACTTGTAATTCCAGCACTATGGGAAGCTGAGGCAGGAAGACTGCAAGCTTGAGCCCACCATAGCCAAGTGGGAAAGACCCTGTAGGAATGTGGCTCAGAGGGAAGACTCTGGGTTCAATCTTTAGTACCACAAAGAAAATAGCTCAGAGATTTGTGATTTTCTAGGAGTTAAGAAACCTTTACAGCTATTTCCTAAAAGCTTTCATCCTATAACTTAGAGAGCCACTACCAATGACAAAGTGATCAGTTTCCTGTTAGTGTTGAGAATAACAAAGTTCAAGGAAAGGGTGAAGTAGAGGCTTAAAGGGAATAAGGAAGCATGGATCTGAACATGTGTGTGTGTGGGGGGGGAGGTAACTGGAGACTGATCCCAAGGTCTTCATGTCTTTTTATTTTAAGATAGAGTCTTACTAAATTACCTAGGTAGGACTCAGACTTTTGATCCTCTTGTCTCAGCCTCCCAAGTACTAGGATTACAGGCATGAATATGTGTATGGACGTGATCAAGTATTAAATACAAAGTAATTCTAAATTATAGCATCAGGTTATGTAAATCTGTGCTTCTATTCATGAAGTTCTGACTGTAGATTACTAAGCTATAGTTTTATAGGGAAGGAAAAGACAAGAAAGAAGATGAAATATACTAGAAAAACAAAAAGAAATATACTAGGAAAAAAATTGAAGGTTAATGTCCAATTCATTTCTATCTGTAACAAAAAGTATTAGTCAATAACATAAAATGTTGGAACATATCAAAGGAACTCCAGGATCTTCTGCTTATATGATCAACCTATCTATTCTACTTCTTTCCAAACTATGTTTATTTCTAACATGTTTTATTGTTATGTGATTTTTGGCAGTATTATGTATTCCATTTAGGCATAAGTAAATAACATTAATGCTTTGGTAGCTCTCCCAAAGATATTCACAGTCTCATCTCTGGAATACATGAATGTTACCTTATATGGCAAAGGAAACTCTGAATATGTGATTAAATCAAGGATCCTGAGACTGGGAGATTGTCCTAGATTATCTGAGTGGGCTGCAAATACAATTACAAGTGTCCATATAAGTGAGAGGTTTAAGGAGGTTCTACTATAGAATAGAAAAAGGTTTTGTGACTGCTAGCTTTAAACATAGAGGAAGAAGCTAGCTGCAAGCACTGCAAGGTACAGATCTTTAGAAGCTGGAAAAGGTAAGAAAATAGATTCTATCTTAGAGCTTCCCTATGAAATTCGGTTCTCTCCAAACCTTGATTTCAGGCTCAGTTAAACTCATTTTGGACTTCTGACTTCCAAAACTATAAGAGAATACATTTCTGTTGTTTTCAGTCAACAAGTTTGTGGATCCAGACGTGATGGTGCAAACTTGTAGTCCCAACATGCAGGAGGCTGAGGCAGGAGGACTGCCATGAGTTTGAGGCCAGCCTGGACTACATAGTGAGTTCAAGGCCAGGCTGAACTACATAGTGAGACCCTGTCTCAAAAAACCAAAATAACAAACAAGAACAGTTGTTTAGGGGAATTTAACTTTTAAATTATAGTTGACAAAACAAATTTCTATGTCAACATATCCTTTCATGCAGACACAGATATAATAGTTTTTATAGCTTTTCTAACTTTTTTTTATAACTGATAAAGCAAAATTAACTATTAGTATCTATACTACTTCATGTGTTTAATAAAAAAGCTGTGTTTTAGGGCCAGGGATTTAGCACAGGGGCACTGCTCCTGCCTCACAAGCGCAAGGTCCTGAGTTCGATCCCCAGTAACCCCTCCCCCCCCCCAAAAAGCAAGCTGTGTGTTATAGCTATAGTGGAGTAATTATAATTTCCTGTGAAACTGTAAGTATTAACACTGAATAGCAGCATTAAAAATGACCACCTTCCAATCATGAATGTCCCCAGGATACAAAACAGGAATGAAAACCTTTATTTGTACACACACAAAATGAATAATCACAAAATAAATATAGTAGTTAGCTGCACAATCACTATATATTCACAAATGAGGCATGTCCTGCTGGTTTTTAAAATTTGTGTTTTTTAAAATTGGGCTATCTCTTTCAGAATTGGATGGCTAGTTTCTAGGAAACAATGTAAAAACAAAAGAAAACTATCTATTGTAGTTTATTGTGGCAGCAATATGCCATAAAGCACTGATATTCTTTTTCAGAACATAATTTAATGAAAGAAAAATTCAGACAATAGAAAGATTATGTCTAGTTTCTCCTTATCTCATTTCTGCATATATTGATGAAATAATATCATGAAAGCCATGAAAAAATAGTATATGATCTTCTCAGCAGATTTTCATCAAGTATTAAATTCAATATAACTCTAGTGAAACATAATGGAACTAGTGATTTATATTACATTATTATATAATAATCTAATCCAACTGTGAATAAAATATTGATTAAAAAGGACTGAAGAAAATCAATGTAAAAAAATACATGAGGACTATTCTTCCTAAAATCCATCCATAAAAGAGCCAATCTGTACAAATAATCTCTTTTCTGAATACTTAGGGAATAAATGTTCACTTATCATATTCACTGTGCAAAAGATATATAGGACTGCCACCTCTGGCCATGATGGAGTAAAAGAGATGAGACTGGCCTATCTTGCCTGAAACTACTCAAAATCCAGACAAAATGTGAGAAACAATGGTCTAATAAAAGTGGAATCAGGCATAAAGGACAATGATCCCCATAGAAGCAATGGGAGCCCCACAATGGTTTTAGGTTACTTCTTCAAGTAAAAGACTCTCTACCTCATAGTACACAGGAGAAATCCAGGTGGAGCCTAGTAAATTCACTGAGTTGAAGAAGTGGAACAAACGAGTGTAACACCAAGACAGACAGAGTTCAGGTAAGACAGTATTTATTATACAAAGCACTGATCAGAGAGAACTCCAGGGACCTACAGCAGAATCAGCAGAATATTGGTCATTACATACATGTACGGTAACTACTACAGGCTTGGGGAAAGAACTCTCTAAAAGGATTCATAGAAGTAGTATCTGGCATTCATGAGAGGTTGTGTGGAAAGAAATCCTGATAGTACCAGATTGGAAAATGTCATAATTCACAGGGCTTTGGATAGAATGCCTGGACTAAAAATTAGGAGAAATTAGGCCTAGACTAAAACATTTCTCACATCCTGCATAACAATTCTTAAAAGCAAGACTCAAAAGAACCAAACTATTTTCAAGTAATTTAACTAAATTGTAGAAGAAAGCTTAACAATATCTGTAAGAATACAAAAGCTTCTAGTGACCAACAAGGTAAAATTAATGACATCTGTAATCCAACAAAAAATTACCAGGTTTGCAAAGAAACAGAAAAAGATAAACCATAATGAAGAGAGAAAAAAAACTGATCAACCAAAACAGACTCAAAACTGACAAATATTTTAAAATTAGCATACAAAAAGCAAGTATTATGATTGTATTTTACATGTTCAAAAGATAGAGATATGAGTCTGGTGATACAGTTTAGCGGTAAGGTAAGGTGTGTTTACCTAGCATATACAAGGCCTGGGTTCAATTCTCAGCATGGCCCAAAAAACAGTCGGGACAAGAAGATACAAAAAACAACGTAAAGTTATAATTAATACCTAAGTTAAACTTACAGAGATGAAAATGTAATACTTGAAAAAATACAGTGAGTGGGATTTATTACAAGTTATTCTAATTTAAAAGAATAAGAAAAAATAGCAAATAAAATCCCAACTAAACGGAAGAGAAAAAATAAAAGTCAGAGAAAAAAAATGAAATAAAAACTGTAGAGAAAAAAAGTAAATGAAATTAAGAAAAGAAAGTTTATCAGAAAAAAAAAAATCAATAAAATTGGCAAACTTTTTCCAAAATGGCCACATAGTAAATATTTTGTGTTTTGAAGGCCAATAGAAAAAATCAAGGTAATATTTAGCATTTAAAAATATAAAACTATTCTCAGCTTATGGGTCATAAGCGAAGAGATGGCTGGTTGTAGGACTTGGGCCTAAAAGCTACAATTTACCAACCCCTACTCCGGCTAGACCGAAACATAAAGGTGATACTTCCCAACTCATTCTTTAAAGTCAGTGTTATCCCAACACCAAAACCAGAGAGAAATATTACAAGAAAATTATAGGCCAATATTGCCCATAAACAAGAATACAAAAATTCCTTAAAATTTTTAGCAAATCAAATTCATCCATATATAATAAGGATAGTATAAATAAAGTTTTTACTAGAAATGAAAGATTGGCTTATTTAAAAACAAATCAGTGTAAACTGGGCATAGTAGTGCATGTCTGTAATCACAACACTCTGGGAGGTTGAGACAGGAAGAATAAAGTTCAAGCCCATCCTTGGCAACTTAGCATATTAGTGAAACTGTCTCAAAATAAAAAATAGAAAGGGCTAGAAACATAGCTCAGTGCAAAGGCTCTGGATTCAATCCCCAGTATCGCCCAAAATTAAATAAATAAATAAAAACAAAATCAAAATTAAATAATGATAAATCAATATAATTCATCGTATTAACAAAATTCCACAAAACATACTGATCACCTCAATAGACATAAAAAGAACTTTCACAAAAACCCAACATCCATTCCTGAAGAAAATATCGGTGAACTAGGAAATTAATAGAACCTACTCAACCAGATAAAAAAAAATTTACCATAAGTTAATGGTGAAAGAATATTTTGCCCCTGCACTGTGCATGCTTGCTTCTCTGCCCCTGTAACAATACTTTCACCCTCTTGGTGCTGCCGACACCACACCACAGTC